ACATGCGCTCGCCAGAAAGACAGAGACAGAAAGCAAGAAGTCATCCCCCAGGGGGAATGGACATGCTGCAATCCCTTCTCCTCCATTCTCCTCTCCATTCTTGGGCATGCACGCACACGCACCTGGCGTGAGTTTAAGTCACTGGGTCTGGCACTCAAACTGCAGCAGACTACATGGGAGTCCAGCGACATAGCCATTACAACTGCTGTTTCCAAGAGAGGTTTTGCTATAGGGTGCATGCACTTGCCAGAGAGACAGAGACAGAAAGCAAGAACTCATCCCCTGACGGAATGGCCATGCCACAATCCCTTCTCCTCTATTCTCCTCTTGGGATTTTGGGCATGCATGCACATGCACCCAGTATGAGTTTTAAGCCTCTAGGTTCGGGACTCAAACCGCAGTCGACTATGTGGGAGTTCAGCGACGTAACCATTAAGCCATCTGCTGGACTCACTGACTTCTAATTTTAACACTTGTGTCAAGGTCAGAAGGCCAGAAAAGCAAACACTTAGAGATCCAAGCAGTTACCTTTTGAACTAGAGAGAGGACTGCCCTGCTGTCTCCTCTTGGCGTCGCTGAGAATGTCGATGACCAGAGTGGCAAACTCGTGGGCATTAAATCGAGCTAATTTCTGTCTGCCCTAGGGGTGAGAAATAATGGAAATATTCCCCAGTGTAAAAACATATGCCTAAGGAAAAGTCAGATAAAACCAGTCAGACTACTGATAGACCATCCCATCATGATCAAAGTAATATCACTCACAGCCATAAATGCACCAGACATAACGTTTTCTGTGCTGTTTAAAACCATTTATGTGAGAGCTTCATAAGTTTTCACAATGCCATTTATTTTTGTGAACGGAATAAAATGGTGCTACTGTGTTTTGTTTCCTATTTTTGATTCTGTTTTGCAGTAGAACCCGGTAATGAAAAATTAGTTTGGAAAGAAATGTAAAATTTCAAGATAAACAGAGTTATAATCTTGATGTGGGTATTCTATTCTCATACGATCATTCTTTGCTTTCCTAGTGCTCATGCTGTTTTTAATGCTTTATTATTATATATAGTACTTTGATGACAATTGCAGGGTATCAATTCACTCTCACTTTATTAGTATTCCCAAATGAAGAATTCCCATGTAAAAGGATGTACTTCATTTTGAGGCTTCCAAACCTGATCAACAAACTACTCTTCAGAAGTCTGCAGCAATTTACGATCCAGTCTGTAGCATGAGAAAGCCCATCTTGCCACAGCCTTACCAGTTTGGAGTGTCCTTTACTAGGTAGATTGGGCCTTCAAGAAGTTCACGGGAAAATGAATTAATTAACGTATGAGTTTAATTCAGCTCTGCAGTGCGGTGTGAATATGTTGCTCAAGAGAAGCTGCATCCACATGGTGACCACAGTCAAAATCCTGGGCCTGGTCAGCCTAGAGTACACCAGGCACACGCCTAAGTGCCCAGGATCAGATAGGCTGGAGGTCTGAAGGGGATCCCGGCATGACCAGACCCCATGGGGGGAGAGTCTCTTCTCTCTCAAGTATGTACAAATGTGCTTTATCATGAATAAAGGAAAACATGTTGGGGCAGGCCCTGCTGCCCACTGGTTAAGGGATCTGGATCCCACATGGCAGACCACACAATTTGAGTCCCGGACCTGGCATCTTGAAAAACACGCCAAACGTGCAGGTGTGTGCAGGTATGCCCCACATCCTGACAAGATGGAGAAATGGAGAAGGGAGGGTGGTGTGATCATGCCCCACTGGGGAGTGTGTTCTCCCTTTACTGTTCTGCCTCTCTGTCTTTCTCTGCCCAGTGCATGTGACTTCTGGCAAAATAAATAAATAAATGTATGAATTTACTTTGGTCTTCCCCCCCAAAAAATAAGGAAATTCATGTATAGTTTCTTCAGAATAGGCCCCTTCCATGAACTTTTTGAAGACCACGCCCTCATCATATTCTATTAATTTGCTCAGTGAATCTTTCACTAATATCTTACAGTGCTTTCTTTCATTACTAACACAGTTAAACATTCCTTCATATTTGTAAGCCATTTACATGTCTTCTGTGAACTGTTTTACATTTTTCCCATCATCTATTTTTATCTATCGCTTTAAACAAATTATTTTCTGCATAAGGAATATTACATTTTAATCCATCAAAAAAAAAAAAAAAAAGTCAAAGACTTGTCCTGGGAAAGTGAAATAGCATGACATCAGCCACACCCCAAATCATAGCACTGGTTACTTTTCAAACAGAGCCACTTGCCTGGTTTCGTGTTGACGAGTACTCGGGGTTGACGGGGAGGAAGGGGACGACCGTTGTCTCGGTTACCAGGGTGCTGTGGTTTTGCGTGGCAAGCCAGACTAGCCAGAGGAAAGAGCCAGAGACAGAATCTCATCACGCCTGGTGTGCCACTGCTCCTCCGGGAGGCACAGCTCACGCAGTACTAGGGAGACTCGGGGAGGCACACTTTGAAGCCAACATACGCAAAAGGAAATGTTGACACACGCGTTATCAGGACAGGAGAAAGTGGGCAAGTAAAACACGGAGGCTGGCAGCTTGTCGCTGCCCACTGCTAACGGAAGCGTATGAGATAAAGCCACATGTTAAGTCACCTGCATCAGTCTCTCGCCTGTCAACTTCATCGTACACATCCATGGCAAGTTCTTCAAACAAATGATTACTTAGCTGAAAGTAAAAATACCAGGGACACAAGGGACAACGATTAACACCAGGAGGACGAGAGGGGACTGTGACCTATTCCCCCTGCTATCTTCATTTTATCCAAAGCCAGTGCTTAGTCAATCCCCACTGTTAAAGAGACAAGGACCTTTCCAGAACCGTTCTGCCCCTCTGGAAGTCTGTCCGGCAGTAGCCTGACTACCTGATGACATGCAGACAAGGTCGCTGCTATGCGGGAAGGAAGGGGCAACACACATGCACCGTCTACAGAGCAGTTCTCATTCTCTACTCCTCTCGTGACACTGCCCTAGGTAAGTCTCCTCTTCTGCTCTAGAGGCACTTGCAAGATCCCTAAAGTGGAAGGGATCCTAACCTGCTGGTAGCATAAAGAGGTGGAAGCACACAACTGCTCTGGGAGGACAGAATGTCCTGCTGTGTGAAAGTGTGACCCAGGCCTCACTGAGGTTTCTTTGCCCCGCTCCTTGGTAGAGATCCTCCCATCCTCAGGTGCATGGAGCTTTTCCAACAACAAAGCACAGCCCGACCTAGTTTATAGGACGTGGTGCATGTCAGCTCACAGAACAGTCAACACACAGGCTGATGGGCCTAACTGGCAGGTGGGGCTGGGGCCGACCGTCAGGGTTTTCACCAATTTCTGCCAGGGAGGACCAGCTCGCTCTGTGCTTTCTGTCTTACGAAACTTACCCTGACACTTGGCAGTTGTGACTTTTCCCCTGGCTGCTTCCCTGCTCTGTGAGGGCAGGAGCTGAATCTGTCCTATTCCCTACTGTGTTCCTTACATCCACAAACCTCACGCTGGGAGGGCATGGGAGACAGCCACTCACACACCGACCAGAAACAGCGATTCACAGAAACATGCTAAGATGGAGACAGCACATTGTTGAGGGAAGAGAGCAGGATATCAAATGTTATAATTATGATTCACAGGTTCTAAAATAGATAGGCATATAAGAGCTGAAAGAACTATTGAGCCTAAATCCATTAAGCATAATGTGATTGAGAATGATCCTTCTCTATTTTCCAGATTTTCTTGAGTGTGATCACATTTCATTTATAATTAAAAATAAACCCAGAAAGCCTATTGCTGGATAAGATGATGAAGGATGGGGAGCTTTAATTTGCTTCATAAATATGCAGTTACTTGCCCTGCAAATTCATGTTGTTGGGTCGTCAAGAAAGTCATGACACTTGGCAGTTGTGACTTTTCCCCTGGCTGCTTCCCTGCTCTGTGAGGGCAGGAGCTGAATCTGTCCTATTCCCTACTGTGTTCCTTACATCCACAAACCTCACGCTGGGAGGGCATGGGAGACAGCCACTCACACACCGACCAGAAACAGCGATTCACAGAAACATGCTAAGATGGAGACAGCACATTGTTGAGGGAAGAGAGCAGGATATCAAATGTTATAATTATGATTCACAGGTTCTAAAATAGATAGGCATATAAGAGCTGAAAGAACTATTGAGCCTAAATCCATTAAGCATAATGTGATTGAGAATGATCCTTCTCTATTTTCCAGATTTTCTTGAGTGTGATCACATTTCATTTATAATTAAAAATAAACCCAGAAAGCCTATTGCTGGATAAGATGATGAAGGATGGGGAGCTTTAATTTGCTTCATAAATATGCAGTTACTTGCCCTGCAAATTCATGTTGTTGGGTCGTCAAGAAAGTCATGATGCATTTTTGCACAGAAAAACAGGAAAACACATCCTGACTTTCCCGCTGCCCTAATGTTACTAACAACTACAATAGCCAACACTGTCTGAAGGCTCACATCCAGGGCACGGTGCTCGGAGCATCCACACCGACTACTTACGACACTCCCACGGAGGTAGGAACTACCACTGTCCCATTTCAGACAGGGAGGTGAGGCACAAAAGTTAGTAGCTTGCCTAAAGTCACAAAGCAGATAAGGGGTGGGCCTGAGATGCAAGTTGGAGTCTCTCAAAAGGTTAATGTTTATTAATATTAATTTGAAGAATACGTTAGTTTTTTGTTACATTTTTCTCAGCTTTTCATTAGGGAGAGAGAAAGGGAGGGAGGGGTGGGGAGAAAAAGGAAAAGGAAAGGAAGGAAGGAAAGGCAAGAGGGAGGGAAGAATGGAGGAAGATACTGGAAGATAAACTCCGACCTGGCCCTGATAAAGGCAGTCCCCAGTGAGGAGACCAGAACGGAGGTCAACGAGAAACAAAGCAGCTTGCCTTGCCGGACAGTTCCGACCTGCAGCCTCTGCTGTACCATCATCTCCCTTCTCTAGAAGGCGTCAAGGCACAGGGTGGCCAAGGAGCTGGCAGGGCTGGGACCAGTCTGACCCAGAGCCCAAGGTCGTGAGAGCTGCACCAAACTTGGCTCCAGATGCTCACTGAAGGCCTGCTGCATGCCAGAGACACCTCGACCACAACCTCAGCTCTTGCGTTATTCCCAGCCTAGCAAATGTGACGTCAACGCGAGCCTGGGTTTGACCTGGGCCTGAATTCCTTATAATACAGAGTTGCCTACTTCTTAGGAGTAGTTAAGAGGAAACCACACAGGAGATGCCGTCAGATTTGCTACCTGATTCCAAAGCTTAACATCTTCATCATCTTATCGTATGACCTCCTTAAGTTAAGAAAGGCAGTAAAATACAGACACACAAAACCGTAGATATAGAACACAGACACCAAACAAATTGCATAAAACACATTTATTTCATAATACAGTTAAATACTAGTAAGGATAAATTCACTCCATGGAATACTTAAGACTTTGCATGATCTCAAGTTCTAGTAAAGGGTCTTCTGTGAGAAAGGGAGGAGGCAGTCCTAAGCTAGGGAAGCTGCAGTTTCAGAGTTGGGCTGCGGGAAAGCTCCTGCCAACACTGTGGTGATAAAAGCAGTAAATGATAAAAGGGAGGGAAGTTGGGAAAGGGGAGCGCAGCAGGCAAAGAGGATTTCTAGGAGAGGACTTGCTGGTGGCGGCTTGTGGCCCCAGAGGACGTTAGTCCAGAAAGAAACACTCACACACGCATGTGCATGTACACTGGGAACCAGATGGGAAGGAAGGCAACCTTGGGAGGGTGAGAGCTGGAGCATACCCTTCACAGGGCTACGAAAGGAACCCAAGAATCTCACTTCTGATCCAGGAGCCTGTGGTTAAGCATCCTGTGAGGCTTCACTGGAGGGAACTAGAAAAACCACTCCCAGAGAAGCAGATTTCCTGGGGCCCTGGGTAAGGCTGAGGTGGGCAAGCTGGGGAGAAATACAGATTAAAGTGAAGCTGTGACCTCAGAGCTGGGTGAACCCTGAGGTCCTACGTGGGCCGGGACTACTGGTTATCGGCGTAAGTTCACAAAGCTCTGTGAATGGCATGGTGGGGCCCCAGCAGTAGAGTGAACCTACGGTCCGCACCACCACTCCAGCATCAGCTATGACCACTCTCCCGCACCTGCACAGCTACAGGAAATAATCCCAAGGGCAGGTGGCCCAGGCACTCATTTAGGTTGAGAGAAACCAGGGAACTCTCACGAGGAGGAAAACTTCCTAAAGTCAGAGACACAGGAACAGGACAGAGGAAGACGGGATTATCTGAAGCAGAGCCAATGGACACTAAGGATATGCTAAACTTCACAGTGCTCGGGCCCAGTGCTACAGAGTCAATGGTCTGCTTCAAACGTAACACACCTCGACATCTGGTCAGATGTCACGCGACATGCCAGGTAACTAGAGAGAGGACACGCATCACGGGGACACACTGATTCCCACACTGGAGTTCACCAGTATGGAGAGATACTCACAGATTGAAGTTTCTTCTTAGCAGCTTTTGCCAATTCAGACAAATCCAGGCTGCTAAGAAAATGTACAGAACTAATAAGCAATAAGTAAAACCATGTTCATAAACTCTGAAGAAGATTAAGATAACCAAGGACCAAAAAAAAAAAAGACTGTAGATCATGGACATTACCAGAGATAAGCATCCCAACACATTAAAAAAAAGATTGATTTATTTAATTTTGTTATTATTATTGTTATTATTTAAATTTAACCAGAGAGAGACAGAAAGGGAAAGTGAGAAAGCAGGCTGCCAGGTCCAGAACTCGAACCACAGCTGGCCATGTGTGAGTCCAGTGCCTTAATCACCACGCCATCTGTGAGCCCAGAGATAAGCATTCTATAGTCCAACAGAGTCAGCGAGGAAACTGAACAGAACCCTTTGGTGAAAGAGACTCTTGGAAATACCATAATCGAGGCCGACAGGTGGCATGGTGGTTAAAGTGTTGGACTCCTACACGGCCAACTGAGGGCCGAGTCCTGGACCTGGTGGCTTGCTTTCTCACTTTCTCTCTTTCTGTCTCTCTCTGGTCAAATTAAAAAAAGAAATACCATAACCATATGACATGAGGAAGGAGAAAACAAATCACCTACTGACTAAATGACAAAAGCTACTGCCACGTTAATCTCTAGGTCCATATTTGAGGGGTCACAATTTTGGGAGTATTTTTTAAAAAAGCACGATAGAAGAAAATACAAAGAGGGGGGACCAGCAGATGGCGTAATGGTTATGTCGCTGGACTCCCACATAGTCAACGGTGGCTTAAGTCCCAGACCTGGCAGCTTAAAACTCATGCTGGGCATGTGTGTGTGTGTACCCAAGATCCCTAGAGGAGAACGGAGGAGAAGGGATTGCAGCGTGACCATCCACCCTGTGGGATTTCTTGCTTTGCCTCTCTCTCTCTGGTGAGTGTACATGCCTTATAACAAAAATATCTTAAAAGATAAAAAATACAAAAAGGGAAGATGTGAGAAGCCATAATAACAAGATTACACCTAGAATGGCAGCTAGTCATTTCATAGACTCCTGACAGTGCTTTTGCAAATGCTAAGGGTTCAAGGTTCATTCCCACAGCAGTTAATTTGTCCCATCTTATAGGCCAGGGGCTGGCAAATGATGGCTGCCTCTCTGTTCAGCCCATGAGCTCAGAATGGCTTTACATTTTTTCTTTATTTAACTGCTAGAGGGTATGGGAGTTGGCCAGAGCGAAATGAGGGCAGGGAGGGGAGGGAAAAAAGCATTTCTTACAGGTATGGTCATGCCACAAGCCTCTCTCCTCCATTTCTCCATTGCGTTGGGATTCTGGGCATGCACACATGTGCTCAGTATGTCTTTCAAGCTACCAGGTCGAGACTCAAACTGTGGTGTTCCACGGGATCTGGCTCCCTTAACCACTAGGCTATGGGTCAGCCTAGTTTTTATATTTTTTTAAATGGTTGGGTGGAGAAAACGAAGGACAATATTTCCTAACATGTGAAAATTAAAGGAAATTCAAATTTCAGTGTCAAGGAATAAAATTTTATGGAACAGACATGCCCATTCATTTACACAGTGTCCATGGAGGCTTCTGTTTACAGCGGCAAAGTCCAGGAGTTGTGACAGTGGCTGTATGGCCCAAAAAGCCTAAAATATTCACTCTCTGGCCCTTGACAAAAAAGGTTTGCTGGGAACCAGCAGTTAGCGTAATGGCTATGTCGCTGGACTCCCACGTAGTCGACCGTGGTTCATGTCCCGGACCCGGT